ACAGATCAAAAAGAAAAAAGGGCTTTCATCTTGCCCCGGGCATCTCCAAAACATTTGCCGATGGTGAATCGGCGTAGAAAGGTTGAGCAGCTTCGGGAGCAGGCAAAGCGGGAGGTACTTCGGCGACAGAAAGACCCTGAGGAATATTATGGTCCGGGTCCCGGTCCGGCAGGGCCTCATCAGACAAATCCACTATTACCGCCTCAGACAGATCCACCGAAACTTGCACCGGCGTTGGAATCTCACCCTCGGCTGCAATCTCTGCTTCGGCCCGTTCCATCTCCGCTGAGGGCACGTACTTGTGCATCTGGAAGAGCGGAGAGTCTGACAGAATTCCAGCAGACTGGAGCGCCTCGTCCCACCCCCTCTTGAAGAACTCCTTGTTTTCCTCAAGAGCAGGGAGCACGTCGTCGGCGAACTCTTCTCGGAGTTGCTCCTCGGACTTCCTATTCAGTGCCTCATCCCTGATCCTGTTCAGCTCCTGGGTCAGAGCCAAACAGTTTTCCTCTGAACCAACAGCCCTCTCCTCTACTGCAGAAAGCCGCTGCGTCTGTTCTGTTATCCTCCTCTCAGCATCGGCAAGGGCAACACTTAGCTTTTCAGCGCCGACCTTCGCCAACTCGGCCTCCTTGAGGAGTTGCTCGATTTGAGCAGCCTGCCCCGCGAGGGTGGAATCCCTTGCAGCGACGTCCTCCCTAGCACTGGCAAGGGCTCCCTCGGCTTCTTCCTTCTGCTCTCGAACCCGCTGAAGGTCCATCCTTGGCCCATGGTACCGCGCCGCTATTATGAAAATCTGTTGGGTGGCCTGCAAATGAAAGAACATGTCACTAAAAGGAAAATTGGGGCTAAAAGAGACTGAAGCAAAGATGAACTTACCACCAAGGAATTTTGGATGATGGAGCGAAACAACACGTTTGTTGATCACCCCCTGTGAGCCGCCATGTCGGCCTCGAAATGCAGCGTCTCACTCACTGCATTGGCGACATGAGGGTCCTGCAAAATGGAATTGTCGACCCTGATCACTCGGTCCATGTGATCAGTGGCTCGAGGGTTCCACTCCGCAGCTTCCACTGTCTGCGAAAGATGAGGAGTCTTCTGTCGCCATTGTTGCTGTTGTTGCTGCTGTTGCTGTTGTTGCTGAGGAGCAGGAGGTAACCCACGACCTCTCCCACTTTGCTGCTGAGCGGGGGAGGCCCTGGATCCCCTCCCAAGGCCGTCGTGTCTATGTTTGACCCTCCTCTCCTCCTCTACCTGAGGATCTCAGTCACGCATCTAACCCCGACTGACAACTCTTGAGGAGGAGGTGGCACTGGTCCCTGCAGATGGGGTCCCACCGGTCGATCCTCGTCCCCTCCCAGCAGCGAGGGCTTGCCTTTGCCTAAGGAACCCTAAATCAATACGGGGCGCGTTGGACATAGCTACCTCAAGGGCGTCCTCGACGTCGAGAGATTGTAGGATTTGGAAGTCCAGCCAGGAATCTCTCCCCGAAGTCCCCACCTCGACGTGCGTAGGAACCAAGTTCTCTCCGACCCCGAGCTCTTCAACTTCAGCCTCCGAGGCCCGATCAGGGTCTTCTTCCAAGTTCTCCTTAACTTCTTGCCCCGTCGCCTGATCAAAGAGTTCAGACCACCAAGAAGGCTCGAAAGGCTGGGGAAGCTGCGAAAATTTTTTATACCCGGGGTGTAATTCAGGAGGATGTGGGCAGCCTAGCCGAGCCCGTCGTCGCCAGTAAAACTCCAAACAGTGATTAAGTCAGCAAAATTCACCGACGATCGGGGTGGAGGTGCTGTTTCCCGAGGGGAGATGTCTGCACAAGCAGAAAAGAGGGGAGTGGGTTATGAGCATGTAGAAAATTTTAGAAACAAAATAATAAGGCCCGAAGGAACCGACGTACTTGTCGTTCTCCATTCCAATGGACATAACAAGCCGTCATACTCGGGGACCGACACCTCTCTGCCAAGATCCCCTGAAGATAAGTAGGTCATCCTTGTACCCCTTGTCCGAGTCAGGAAGGTGAGTTACGAGGTACATAGATGGGTCCCTGGCTTTGAGGTAGAAGTGTTGTTGAGGCGTAACTCTCAAAAGGGAATAACAAAAAAGGATATCGTCCAGCCCGACGTTTACCCCAAGACGCCTATTGAGCTCTAGCACCCCCATAATTATCCTAAAGACATTAAGGCAACACTGTCCGGGAAAAGAGATGAAAATGAGAGAGGAACTGGAGAAGCAGAGGGGACAAAGGGAACCTAATTCTGCCTTCTATAATGGTTTTAATATAAAAAGGCATTGCATCCTCGGTATCGAGGGTACGAGGGTGCACAGCCGCGTCATAATCCTCTACCTCTACATTCGGTGGAACGCTGTACCTAACCTTAAATCTATTAATTTGTTCACTACCTTTTACTTTATACTTCCCTGGCCTCGAAGTACTAGCTTGAGGATTCTCGGGGGCAGAACGACGACAAGGCATGTTCAAGAAGTGATAAAAATAGAGGAGATTTTCCACGAAGATCCCCAAGAAGGCTTTCCGGGGGTTGATCGCTGGATGACAACCAGAAATCACCTCCGATAATCGGAAAATCAAAAGAGACAGAAGGGCAAAGAAATGGAGGATACTGGAAATCACCAGAGAGTAAGAAGATATATTTTCTAGAAAACTTGAATCGATTCCTTCCCAGAATGTTCAGAAACAAAGGATAGGTCTGCTAGCTTTAATGCTTCAGTAAAAAGGTTGGGCAGTTAAGAAACAGAAGGGAAGAGGTCTCCGGCGAAGATTCAGGCAAGGGCTCTCTGGAAGAAAAGTTCAGAATGACGAAATAAGAAAAAGAGGGAGGAAGCCCATTTATATAGTACCGGTCTCATCATTGGCGTGAAAACACGAAAGGACACATTTAATGCGCACGACGCCCTAAGCAGGGGAAAGCGGCTAGAGGCAATGATGAAGTAGTTGAGGTTGTTGAGAAACCCTTCGTCTCCTTACGACGCGTGTCCTCGGCGTCAGAAGATCAAAGGTTGGGGGACAGTTGATGGGACTTTTCTGAAATACTCCCAGATGAAGACACGTGTCCTCGGCGTCGCTAAAAATCTTGTTACTGAGATCACGTACCATCGACTTACAAACTCCCTCGCCCCGAGGTACTTGACACGTGGTCAAGTACGTTTTACGAACCGACACGTATCCCTCGGTTTGATATGGTACCTCGGTCGTCATGTACAGCTTCCTCGGCTCGAGATGTACCTAACCTCGGTACCGAGATGTACCTATCCTCAGTACCGAGGTGTGCCCCCGTCCAGGATGCCTTTTTCTCTGCTCCAGTATAAGCTATTGATGTACAGGTCGTTAGCCTAGGCTAGTCTATGTTAGCTATCATGGTCTCATCTTACACAATTGGTGTCAGAAGGCACAAGAAGGCAGGGTCCACAGCCAATGAGGGATGGACGCGTGGCAAATTGTGTCACATCAGAGACAGAAAGACCTCATGCCCTTTCTGACACGCGACTTGGGAAAGCAAACATTTAATTACACCATTCCCTTGATGAGACCGCATTCAATGCGGTAAGACTCGGAATTGAAAGACAATAAATGTCTCTAAGGCTGGGCATTTATTGCATCCTCCCCGAGTGGATATCATTAGACAGTCGGCAGCCCGATGACACAACATTGATTGCTCGGGACTCCGAGCAGTTAAAGAAGAGAAGACATTCCTCATCAGAATCAGTGCGCACACTGCCTGTACCTAATGATCATTTACTGACAACACTGACAGCAATCATGAGCTTTTGAGGTATAAATACTCCTCGTAAAAGGCAAAACAGGAGGTAACAAAAAACTCTTTACTATGAAATATACTCAGTGCTTTCTTCTTCCTCTGCCTTTCAAAAATTGACTTGATCGTCGGAGGGGATAAGCCGAAAAACACTCCGGCGCCCTTCTAACTTGTTCTCCTCTGTTCCAGGAACCTTTCTCCAGCCTTACTGGATCATTCCTTCAATCCACGAGGGTCTCCCGTTGCCGTTTCAGGTTACCACCGGACCTCACAGGCTGTCCCAAGCAGCGTGGTTGACCACTCAACTGACTCACTCGACTTCACCAAGGGAGAGATCTGTCCTCGTTTTTTATATTGTGCAAGATTCTGCACGCACACAAACATATCATTCTATCCATACCATAGGAATCAAGAAATGTAATTAGACATTTCTTTTCCATAATGTGACAAATATAATAGTGTCTATTGTGTTGTTATACTATGATGTAACATTGTCATTCTTTAAAAATAATATACGTGTTTGTTGGACTATAAATGTCACACTGTGTAAAAACACAAACTTCTTATCCTAGATTATTATGATTTCCTCAAATCATTTTTTTTTAAAACTATGAATAAAATACGCAATTTGTTGGTGAACAAAATCTATGATATTTTTTTTTTGAATTTCAGATCTTTTGCTGAAATCATGCAAACTTCGGCGGCTTTTTGGTAGGGACGTGATTACTATTGTATTTACTATAATAGAAAATACGAATATGTGGGAGATTTTCTCTCATCAAAAGAGATAATTAAGGGAATTTCAGGTAATTAATAGAAAGATTTTATGCTAGAATTTATAGCTAATAGAAAAAAAATTCTAGATAGAGTCAATTATATACAAATGTAAGTAAGATAAATTATAATTATGTAGAAGAAATTTTAGGAAATAGAATTAACAAGAATAGGAAACTGCTGATTTAATAAAATAAATCCCATGAAAAAAGGAATAACCAAACTAAATAGTCCATAAATTATGAAAAATGTTATTTTAGTAAAAAAGAATAATTTTAAAATTACACTCGTGTATCTAGACACAATACATTTCAACTAATAGTATTTATCTACAATATATTTTCAGTAAGGAATTTTTTCATAAATAAGTAGTTTATATCGTGCATAAAAAAACATTTAAAATTTTTTGAGGTATAAAGTGTAATTCTATCAGAAGGCAACCGGAGTACCAAGTCACAACCCCACTTCCCCACTCCCCATACGAGTAAACACCGATTCTTCAATCTCCTCATCTATCACCTAACTTTCCTCTTACTCCTCCAAACCCTACAATGGCGCCCAAATCGGACACCCAAAGCACCCAATCAGATCAATTCATGGACTACTCCATAGACCCAATTTTCCACATTATCAAACGCCTTCCCTTCTCCTTCCTCCGGCCTCCACGCCTCCGCCTCAGGTTACCAACCATAACCCTCCCCTCGTCAATGACCGTCTACGCCCTTCTCCTCCTCACCTACTTCATGGTCGTCTCAGGCTTCGTCTACGACGTTATTGTCGAGCCTCCCGGAATCGGGTCCACACAGGACCGTGTCACCGGCGCCGTCAAACCCGTCGTTTTTCTACCGGGTCGGGTCAATGGGCAATACATCATTGAAGGGCTCTCTTCTGGGTTCATGTTTGTTCTTGGTGGAATTGGAATTGTGCTTATGGATCTTGCACTTGATAAGAACAGAGCCAAGAGTGTTAAGGTGTCCTTCGCTTCTGCTGGGGTGGCTTTTGTTGTGATTTCTTATGTGATGAGTATGCTCTTTATTCGCATTAAGATCCCGGCTTATATGAGTTGAATTCTGTCCAAACTATGGCTTAACTGAAGCTTTGGAGTTTTTTTATGGACTGGTTTTTTTGTATGGAATTGTGGATCTTATGATAAAATAGAACATAGATTAACGTTATGAGTCTTTGCTTGATGCTATAATTTCGTTGACATGAGCTGTTTTTTTTTTTTTTTTAATCTTTTGTGACGCGAATGCTTTTAATACTTATCAAGATCCTGGCATATTTTGATCTATTGCAATGAAATTGTGGTTTTATTTGGTGGTTATTAGTTTTCATGAAAATGGAGCTTGTGTGGAATTCTGGGCCTTATAATTGATTAGAACAAAAGTTCCGTATTTTATTGCTGTGTCTTACTTAACTATCTGTAATTAGAAAGGTATTTAATTCTTAAATGGGCTGTGTTTGGAATTCTGAGACACATTATTAAAGAGAGCTGTGCTTAAATTTATCTTGATTTGTTTTTGAGTAGTTTACTCACACGATAAAAAATCTGAATGTTTTGCAATAGTTTGACAGCCAAGAATCGAGAAAAAAATATGCTATTTGAATAAGCAATTTTGATGAGCTGTGTTGTTTTGCTTTTGGAGAATTCGATGATTCAACTTTGTTAGAAGTGCGAAGCTCTTGTTCGCCTGGACTGGGTTGGATTTTTTGACTCTTATTTCCTTAATGATGAATTTACTAAGACTCATGCATCAAAGGCGAATTGTTCTATGTTATTGTGGTTTTATGTGAAGATTCTAGTTTTTTATGGAAATGGCTGTTGTTTGAGATTGTGGATCTTATGATTCATTTGATCATTTGAACAGTGGTTGAGGTTTTGGGGAATAGTTTTTGGTTTCCAAATAGAAGTTTTAGAATTTTATGAACATGGATTCTTATGAGATCACAGATCTTATGATTAAACAGATATTGAGATTAGGTTGCTGGTAATATGAGATTTGAAAGTTTTTACTTGAAGTAAAAAAATGTTTTTAGATAACTCATTGTTTGATTACCAAGTAAAATGGGGACAATAAAGGAACCCCATAATTGCTACCTTGTCTTTGGGGACAAGTATTTTGCTTCTTCCAGATCTACTATGTCTTATGGTTATCTGTGTAGTGGTTATATATGTATTCGGTGTTAACAAAATCAATAGCTTATGATTATATCTAACTTGGCTATGGTTCTTGTCTTTCTCTGATAGCAAGTAGATCATAGGATTCATAAATTTGGTGATTGTTCGTTCTTGTGTTGGGGTTCATGACCTTTTGGATGGATCAACATTTGATTTTTTAGTGCAAATCTTGGGTTTACGAATTCAGTCATTGCATTCATATTGATTAGTAGTGAATAGTGATGCAATCATGATTTTTTATAGTATCCTAAAATACCCTGTCCTTTAGTTAAAATGTCTTGATTGTCGTCATTTTATCAATAGAATCCCAAGAAAGTCTTTTTTTGAGTAATGCATTGTTTGAATATCTTCTGCAATATTATGCATCAATTACATTTATTTTTTTTACGATAAACAAAAATTTTATTGATTTTAAAGAGGACCCATGTACCTATTATTTGCTAAACTTATGTTGAAAATTGTCCATCGCAAGATAATGGTAGAATATAACCAAACGGTTGTCAATTTATGAATTATTATATTTTACATAATTTCAGAATCTTGATAATTCAAAACATGGCGCATACATTCCGTTTTGAGTTTGTTACAACTTATTCAAAACTAGTAGTATACACCGAGGCTAAACAAATATGTGAGAAATAAATGGATTGATGTGAAGTTTAGTGACAAGTTTATGTAAGATCATCTTTAAAATGTTAGCACTAAGGCTTCGAGAATGTTTGGGTGATGCTCTTTGCGGTTATCAAGGGATTTTTGTGAAAAAGGGGACATATTTTGAATGATGCTTTGGTGGCTAATGAGGTGGTTGAAGACTACAAATCCAGAGGGTGGAGGATATTGTTTTCATAATTCACTTTGAAAGGTCTATGATCATGTGGGTTGAAACTGTGGATTTGGTGTTGTAAGCAAAAGGTTTTTTGGAGATGTGAAGGAAATGGATTAGAGGTTGTTTGCAGTTAGTGAATTTATTGGTCTTCATAAATTGTGGTTTAAGGCAGGGGGATCATTTATTGCCTTTTGTGTTCGCATTTGTATTGAATGGATTGAATAGGTTAGTTCTGAGAGCAGACAAGTGCAATTTTGTGGAAGTTTTTTGTGGTTGGGTGGGAAAAAGTATGTGCATCACATTTGCAATTTGCTGGTGATACTATATTCTATTTCCTTTGGAGATATAAAGAAGCTTTTGAGTTTTTAGAAGATTGTCGATGTGTTTGGTGTGATATTAGAATTCATGGTTAACATGGAAAAACGCTTGATTGTTGGAAAAATTATTTAGTTGGCCTTGGAGTTGGGATGTTCTCTCTCTCTTTTTGTTTAGGGAACAGAGGAGGTGGAGGGGGATAGCTCTCTTGAGTATTTTGGTCTACCTTTAGTTGCTAATCTTGTCTCTATGGTGTTTTGGAATCCATACATAGCAAAGGAATAAAAAAAAAGTTAGGTGGATGGAAACAAATCTTTATTTTAGTGGGGGGAGATTAACATTAGTGCAATTTGTGTCGTTAGTATTTGCACTAATTTCATGTCTCTCTTTAGGATGACTATGAGTTTGCTAGGAGTGTTGAATGGATGATGCAAGGTTTTTTGTGTGAAAGGAGGGGTAAGGTTAGAAAAAGTTATTTGGTTTATCGGAAGATTGTCTCTCGGTCTACAGATTTTACTTTAGGAAATTTATTGGTTGCGTCCCATGGGACGAGGGGGGATGAGACTGACTTGAATTCGGAGGTGGGTGGAGAGAGTGGGGGGATGAAGAGAAGTAGATTATCATTAAGAACTTCGTAAGGAAGATGGATTTGTCAACTAGTACCCACTAAAAAGAATTGGAAGATTAAAGAGGAAGGGACGAGTACGAGAAAGGAAATAGGGGTTCAAGAGTGAAGAAATTTACATTTTTGGGTCAATTATGATGGTGAGATTGCTAGAAAGATGGATGAGGAAATTTTAGTTTATTGTGAAGATTATTGGTCAAAATATTAAGAGATTAGGATCAAGTAGGGAAAGGTGAAAATAGTTTCGTTTGAGATTTGGGCCGGATATTGTTTTATTGTAGGAATCTAAGCTAAAGGTTAGTGATAGAATAGTGATTAAGAGTGTGTGAGTCTCTAGGTTTAAAGGCTCGACCATCTATTAACTGTGGATAGTTTTGGTGGTATAATCATTATTTGGGATGAAAGAGTTTCGCCCGTGGATGAATCTATTGTAGGCAAATTTATAATTTCCATTTGAGTCAAACATGTGTTAGCCTAGATTGGTGGTTCACCGGTGTATATGGATCTAAGTTTTTCCATTCGAGTCTTTATGCGAAATGTTAGCGGGCTTGGTTGGTATACATTGCTCTCGTTGGTGTCTGGGTGGGGATTTTAATGTCATTAAGTATCATTTAGAAAATTTGAATGGAGGGAGAACAGTTAGAAGTGAGAGATTTTGCTTGTTTTATTAGGGAAACCGAACTTAGAGATCCCCCTTTGGCTAATGGTGTTTTCACTAGATCTAATTTTACAAGTGGTCTAGAGTGTAAAAGGTGAGATAGTTTTTGTTCTCAGTTGGCTGGCTCAAAGGATTGCTTTTTGGGAGTGATGCAAGAGTTTCTCTTTACCTAGAGTTGTGTTAGGCCTTATCCTACTGTTCTTGATAATTCTATTGTAATTTGGGGTCCATGTCCTTGCAGGTGTGAAAATATGACGTTTGAACATAATGTTCTTGCGGGGAAAAGGTTAGAGAATGCTGGTTGGAGTGAACATTTTAAGTTGTGGGAAGGCTATAAATTTATGAGAAAATTTGGTGATATCAATGTTTGCGCATCTCATTCAATGATGAAATTGAAAGATATTTTGGATGGAAGGAATTTGACTTTGGTAAAAAGGAGAGGGAGCAAAAAAATTTGGAGGGATGCCTTTCATAGATGAGTCTGGAAAACACAAGGGTAACTCCGAAAGAGAATAGCAATATTAAAGGGTTAGAGGGCTTAAAAACCTGTGGTTTGGGATTAATTAAGATAGAGGTGTGTATGAAAGTGTCTTTAGGGATAAATAACATGGTGAATCAGTGAAGATTTTCTGTTAGAATGTTAGAGGGACTATTTTTAGGTGGAAGAAAGGAATCATTAAAGAGACTTTGAATGAAATGTCCCCTGATATTATTATTAACTAGGAAACTAGGGTTTAAACCATAAATAGAAAATTCATCTGAGTCTTTGGGAGGTTAGGTTTAGGTAGTGGGCCTTTTTACCTTCTAGTGAGAAGGGGGGGTCATTGTCCTTTTAAGTTTGAGAACATGTGTGTTAAATAACCACCATGCTTTTGGAGGACACTTTAGAGAGTGATGGGGAGGATGGAATTATCATGGGTGGTAAGTTTTTCCATTCATGCAGAAGTTGGAACATGTAGAACAAAAGGTGAAGAGATGGAATTAGGAAGTATTTTCGGGGATGTTAGAGTTGCAAAAATCTAATCATAAATAGAATTGCGGAGATCAATACAATTGAGGAGAGTGGTAGTTTAGATGAGAATTTAACAGAGATAAAGTGGAGAGTTAAAGAATAAGTATGAGGAAGTGGTCTTTACGAAAAGGATTAGTTAGAGACAAAAAGCTAGAGTGAAGTGCGTAAAGAGGGAGAAAACAATTCAAAACTTCTTCATGCGATTTGAAATGGTAAGCAAAAGAAGAAGTTTATTGAGAAGTTGAAATTGAATAATAGAGTGATTATTAAGGATGAGATGATAATTTAGAGTGAAATAATTGAGTTTTTTGCTCATTTATATTCATCTTTTTGGAGTGTTAGACTGAGGTTAGAAGGTTTGAAGTGGAGTCCAATCGATGAGGGTAATTTAGGCGGTGGGAAATGCCTTTGAAGATGGAAGAAATAAAAAGGAAGTTTTTAATTGTGGCGTTGATAAGGCTTGATTCCCAATGGATTTATTTTGACACTTTATTAAGATTGTTGGGATGCTATTATAGAGGATTTAGCGATGGGATGTTGTGACTAGACCTACATGCAAAGGGGGGTTGGGTGTGGGTAGTTTGATGAAGAAAATGTTGCTTTGTTCAAAATGTGGCTATGGAGGTTCCTATTATAACATGATGTTTTGTGGCATGACGTTATTATAATAAAATATGGACTTCATCGTAGTGGTTGGGACTCAAA